CTAAAAAGATAAAATCTATCCTAAACTTTAATTGATCCCATGCTTCTCTCTTCATAATATCTTCCATATGTTTTCCAATCTTCATGCAATCTTCAATTATCTTGAATACTAATTCAAATCAGAATAAATATTATTCTGAAATCTCTAATAATCAGCTCATTAGTAATTTTAAGACAATAAAATTATTATCAATTAAATTAACATTAAATTGATTGTAATTATCAAAATATATTTTAAATCAATTAAACAATTGGGGTATAACAAATTGAAGGGTTCTGAAGGAGACGAGATAGAGACCAACAACAGTATTTCCCATGATGGAGACATGTTCAAGATGATAGTAGATAATTTTACCTACTAGAGACCTATGATAGAGGACCACTTGTACTGTAAAGATTTATATGAGCCTATCCTGAATGCCAATAGACCCAAAGGGAAGAATGAGAGATTTTAAATAGGAAAGCAATGGCTACAATCCGAAAATACATCGATAAAACCCTCTTCGAGCATGTTGCTGAGTTTACCAATGCTTATAAGTTATGGACGAAGCTCCAGTCCATGATTCAGAAGAAAACTCCCAAGAACAAAACACACTTAGTTTGTCAACTTGTAAAGCTTGAATATAAGGATGGCATGAGTATCATAGAGCATTTGAACACATTCAACGATGTTGTGAATCAATTATCAAAAACTAAAATAATGATTAATTGATTATGAACTTCAAGCTATTTGCTCCTCAGCTCATTACTAGAGAGCTGGAATACCTTGGTGATGACTTTGACAAATTCTGCTCCAGAAGGAAAGTTGGCTCTGGATGCTGTAACTGATAGCCTGCTAAACAGGGAGTCCAACAGGAGGGGAAAAGGAATTTCCGTCACTTCTGAAGCAAATGTTGCTCAGAGCAAAGCAAAGGTCGACCAACGTGGTATGAGTAAGAGTCGTCGTCGTGACAACCATGACAAGTATAGAGGACGATTGAGGCCTAAATATGAACTGACCTGCTTCTACTGTGGGAAGCCAGGCCACAAGAAGCCAGATTCCTGTACTCTGAAGAAAGACAAGCAGAGGGAAATGTCAAGCCAGACCAGATTGTACCCAAGAAAAAGGAAGATAAAAACACCACTACGGTGGTCACCAAAATTGATGTTGAGGTGTTTCTTCTTGGTGAGAATTTTCTGAATGTTGCATATGATAATTATGCGTGAATAGTGGATTCTTGTGCATCTTTCAACGTCACCCCAAACAAAAGCCTCTTTTATGATTACAAAAGTGGTAACTTTGGAGTTGTGAAGATAGGTAACCAAGTCACTAGCAAGATTGTTGAAGTTGGAGAAGTTACGTTGACCATAGATGTTGGATATTGTCTCATGTTGAAAGAAGAGAGACATGTGCTCGATATGAGGCTGAACCTAATCTCGGCAGAAAAGCTTGATTATGTAAGGTTAGTGAATTACTTCGGCGGTGGAAGATGAAAACTAGGCAATGGTAACTTGGTGATTGCTCGTGGAAAGAAAAAAATGTTCCATGTATGTGATGTAGGGGAAGATTAATGGATGAGAGGCCAATGCTATCATGGTGTGTCAACCAGTCCAAATCGATTTAATTGCATAACCGATCCAATGATCAGCTCGAACTGATGCCCTACCAGATCACCAAAACCCTGGTCAATCCGGCTGATCCGATCCAGGTTTCAAAACATTGCTTGCGTGGATGAGTACAAGAATTACAAGATCCTCTATCTTATTCGTTAAGCAAAATAAGGATGATGTTTTCTTTTTGTAATTTTTTTTTAAAAAATGTTCAGTCAAATCAGTTTATGGAAGCTTTCCATAGCTAGCCAATTGGAGCACACGTCGTCTTGGTCAACAAGCAATCCTTCATGTTTTTTTATTAATTATTTAACCTTTATATTTTCCCTGTTAATTCCTTTTCTTTTTAAAATTATTTAATGTTTAGTCACTAAAATAACTTCATGATAATGAAAGAGTTATCACCGTATGCCATAAACCTATGGCAGTATATCAGGATCGCTAGCTTAACAGTTATCGCCGTATTTATGTTCCACGACACAATCCACGTTCAATATAATAATTAAAGGTGGCTTTTTCACTTTTTATTCTTTATTAATTAATTAATAATTATTTTGTCCCTGATTCGAAATTATTTACCAATCTGCTTCTCTTTAATCGACTACCTTACATTTTTAATCGATTAAATGGTCAAAACAGACAAAAATGGCTGTTGGGAGATTTAATCGACTAAATCTCCCTATTTAATCGATTACATCTCCCAACAGACAACAAAGGAAAACAAGTCAGTATGATTTTTTAATCGATTAAGTAGGGAGATTTAGTCGATTAAATCTCCCAACAACCATTTAGTCGATTAAAAATTCAAGTTAGTCGATTAAACAGGGGCAGATTAGTAGATAGTTTCAAATCAGGGGCAAAATGGTTATTAATTAATTAATGAGGGGCAAAATGGTCTAATAGCCTTTAATATATATCCTTTTAAAGTATACAAGTTGGGATAGGATATTGTGACACCTAAGTTATGTTACACCCATGTGACACCCAGTCAATATCACCGTTAGATCGCTTATGTTGATCCAACGGTTATATTTATTTCCATTTTTGTATGATCATGATTTCCCAAATTTAATATTTTATATTTATTTCTACCTTTGTATGGTTATGATTTCCCATATTTAATGCTTTCATTTTAAATTTAGGAAATCATGACCATACAAAGATGGAAATAAATATAACCGTTGGATCAACATAAGCGATCTAACGGTGAGATTGACTGGGTGTCACATGGGTGTAACATAACTTGGGTGTCACAATATCCTATCCCATACAAGTTTGTGTCATTTTAATAAGAGAAATGCTTTTCTCCTTTCACATGAGACAAGATTTTATTCCTACACATACATCGACTTCCGTGCCAAGCTTTTGTTTTTGTTTTTACTTTTTTTTAAATTACTGGTCCCACTTTGTTGTCTCAGTAGGAGACAATTCTTCTCTCCTGTTAAAGGAGAAAAGTATTTCCCTTTTAATAATTATAACTATGTATTATGAGTAGTATATAGTTATAAGGTTCGCTTTTTCTGCAATTATTGCAGATAAGTTATCTGCAGTAAGCCCAATACGACGTCGTTTTGAGCGGAAATTATGGTATTTTTGTAATTTTGATTTATTTCAGGGTTATAATAGTCTTTATATTTATAATTTTTTAAGATTTCAATACCAAAACGATGTCACTTTGAAAATAAATGCAGATAACTTATCTGCATTAACTGCAGAAACATTTTTCCCATAGTTATAATATTAAAGTTGTGTTTTTTTTCTCTTTTCAAAAGCTATTTGCTGATATGAAAAGTGAAAAAAGTACAATTTTAATATTATAATTATGTACTACCCCTAATACATAGTTATAACTGCTAAAAAAATACAGTGTCCTTTAAAAGGAAAAAACTTTTTCCCAATAATTAATCTAAGCATACGTTTATAATATTTCAAAGTTATTAGGTATGTAAACTAATGGCAAAAAATCTTTTTTCTCGATGGTTAGAAAATTCTAATTTACAACCAAATATAAAGATTAGCATATCGTTACAATTTAATTAATGGTCTCGAATTCGAATGATGGATACATATTAAAAATTTGATTAGGAAAACTTTAGTACCCTTGTCCTGTCCGACTTGAACTGAATTAATTTGATAATCAATAAATTGGTAAAAATTCTAGAAAATAAATAGAAAATCCCAACTTTGCAGTTTATACTTTTGAATAAGAAAATGAAAACATATATGTATTTTCATAATTGTAAACAAAGTGAAATTTATATTCCTTACTGCCGATTTAGGCGGATAAGTAAAATGATTTTTTTTTTTTAATTACTCTAGATAACTTTATTTAATATTCTTCGGAATGAAGTTGTTTTAGGAAAGAAATTAAGATGTATTTGTAATTTTAATTTATTTTAAGATTATAATAATTTTTATTTTTTTAATTTTTTTATTTTTCAACCTCAAAATGATATCATTTCGATAAATATTAGACAAAATTATCTATAATAATATTAGGTACATTTTTCCCTATTTAAAATCTATTTAATTAGTTTAGTGGTGAACTAACATGCGACAAGTAAACAAAACACAATTATGCAATAACTTGAAATAATGAAAAATATTTTTTAAATTTCAATATTTTTGGATCACTAAGGGGGAAAAGGTAAACTAAAAAAATTCGGGAAGAAAAGAGGAAAAAGTAAAAGGTTAAAAGTCCTGAAATATTCTCTCGATCGTATGCTCTTTATTGCGCTACCACTTTCCACGTGATTCCACGTATACCACATACCATATACACTTCATCATGATACAATTGTTTGTTTTTTTGCAGAACTTGTCATGCTTAAAATTAAAGAGGGAGGTGGGAGTCATTAACTTTTCTCACAGTCAACCTATGAGCCAAAAAGGTATCGAGATGGAAATTTCATAATTCCAGACATGACCATATTTATATCCTATTCCTCGATCCTCTCATGTTTTAAATAATAAGATTATGCCGTGTGAAATGATTCTAAATATCAATAATTAAATTAAGGGTAATAATTTCATAATTTATATTCTTATATTTTTTTTATTTTCTTATTATTATTGATTCATTTATATATAATTAAAATTCTCTCACATATAACATAACATAATCATATATAATTAGCAAATAAGAGAATCTATTGTCGTTCCTCGATATATTAATAATAGGGCTTTATTAATCTCATGTAATATAAGATAAGCTCTATTATGTTATAGAGATAGTCATGTGTGAGACATACAATCTTATAGAAAGAAAAAAAAGTCACACGAAAATTAATGTATGTGCAGGAGAGAAAAATACTCTCCTACAACATGAGAGTATATTTTTCCGTAATAATAAACAAATAAATGAGCCCCACAAAGGCATAAACCCCTTCCCTTCATTCACACGTTCACACCCTCCTGCAAGTCTCTCACTTCCCACATCATATCCTCTTTTATTCATATAAATTAATATATAAATTCAGAAGATTGCAAGCTGCAAACTCCTTCAACATTTCTCACCGTGTCAGGAATTTATATCATGGGTTTTGATGATACATCTAACTCGGGGCTTCGACTTGGTCTTGGTCTTGGTCCTGAGAATTGCATGAAGAATGAAAGCCAGAAGAAAAAGGTGGAGAATAATCCATCAAAATGTAATAAGGCATACCCATCGCTTACGCTAGGACCACCTGATGATGATGAAGAAGAAGAAGAAGCAAATAATCAACCATCTTCAAAGACTGAATCTTACGAATATTTACGTCCCCAAGTCTCTTCTCCAAGCGCAGTGTCTTCATTTTCTAACTCATGTAGCATCAAGAGGGAGCGAGATCAGGTTTTAAATGAAGAATTTGAGGTAGAGACAGAGAAGGTTCCAACAACAAGGGGAGGCGATGTTGATGAAGATGGTAATCCTAGGAAGAAACTTAGGCTAACCAAAGAACAATCCGCAGTCTTAGAGGAAAATTTCAGAGATCATTCTTCTCTCAATCCGGTACCTTAAATTAATTAATAGTATAATATAATTAATATATATGATTGATGAATTAGTCATGCTTATAATCTCTTTTCTTCGGTCATTCGTTTTGATCTTTATGATTTCGCAAATAATTCTTCTGGTCTGTGGAAGGTTTTCTCGACGCCTTTTCAATTTCCTTTGTCATTTTCCTCAGAAGCAAAAGCAAGAATTGGCAAGAAAGTTAAATCTGCGGGCGAGACAAGTAGAAGTGTGGTTTCAAAACAGGAGAGCTAGGTAATTTACTCACATATTTGAACTATATATTTACATATATCTATGCATGAAGCTCTTGAAAGTTTAAATGTTGTTTGAATAATTCCTTTTCTCAATATAGATCTCATGTTTGATAAATATAAAACCATCTTCACTTAACAGTTTTTTTAGTTGAAATAGTTATTTTACATAATATCTGCTTGTTATTTGTAATCAAGTAGTCATGAATTCAACCATGAAATTTTTTAACACAAATAAACTGAGTCCGTGCATAAAATTATTAGGGAGTGTTTGGTACAAGAATTTTGGCTGGATTTTCGGGACACTTAATTTTTTTAAATTTTAAATTTTTCGATATTATCGTAAACTGAATATAAAAATTATATTTTTGAAAATCGAGATTTCCGGACAAAAAAAAATTTCTCCTCTACCAAACGCCCCATTAAAGTGATTTTTAGTTGACCGTTTAAATTTTTGGGTTGAAATAATTAATTTACATACTTATTATTTTAAAGTAATTATTAGCTAGGATAAGGATATTATATTCTTTGTTTTACAATAATTATATGTACAGGACAAAACTGAAACAAACCGAATCGGATTGTGAATTACTGAAGAAGTATTGCGAAACCCTGACAAAGGAGAACAAGAGGCTGGAAAAGGAGCTGCAAGAACTTAAAACAATGCAAACAACGTCAGCAGTACCCTTTTATATGCAGATTCCTGCAGCCACACTTACCATATGCACTTCCTGTGAGAGAATTTGTGGTGGCAGTAGTGGCGGTAATAGCAACGGTTCATCAGCCACGACAACGTCGCTTATAATTGACTCAAAGGCCCATCATCACTTCTATAAAAATAACTATCCATTCCCCCACTCATCATCTGCAGCATGCTAGTTAGTTAGGGATGCTAAACACTATTTTAAGTTTCTGGGAAAACTTTTTTGTTGTTTGTGGGTTGTGCGTTAGTGACCATAATTTGTAGTAAGTACTAATTAAGAGTACTGTAGTTAGTTAGCTTTCCGTCATGTAATTAAAGATAATTGATTAGTGTACAATATAGATTACCACCACATGCTCCTTATAGCCCGCGAGATTATATATATATATCACTTAATTGATATTAGCTTTATTGTATGCAACGTACAATAAAAATGAATCTTGCGCAATGTTTATCAAAGAACCAATAATAATAATAATAAATCTATAATCAATCACTTATATATATAAATATATATATATATATATATATATATATATATATATATATATATTGGCAAAATGATTTCTGCAGCTGCTGTACCTACAGCAAGCAAGGATACACGTCCGAATCCTAAGATACGGCAACGGATCCTGGGTTTTTTTTTTAAAAAGTCGTGTGGCCCACTTTTCTGTGTCAGCTGTAGATAACACTATCTACGGCTGCTGCAGAAATGTTAAGTACATATATATTATATTGTTATATTTGTAATGGTCGTTCAGTATGCATTACAGATATCGGCGGACCCACTTTGTTGTATGTGTCTGCAAGTGAAAGACACAGATTTTGGAGAGAGCGAAAATTAACTACTCGATAAGGCATTGGTCTAGACATTGTATGAAGCATGTAACGCAGATGAATGCTTGAGATGTGAACCGTTTAATAATTTGTGGAATTTAAAGCAGTGTTTAATTACTTTGATATTTTTGGTACAATAAAAGATTGTCTGATCCCTGTGAAGGGATGTGTAGCATTGAATTTAATTATTTGGCACAGTTGTAACTTGTCGATTACAATGCATGACATAGGCTTTCTATTATGTGATTTTTTCTTCAACGAGCAGAATGTTTATTAGATATAATTAAGGAAAATACTACTATCATTTTACATGAAATAATTATCTCATGTTATTTCACTTCGAAAATTTCATTCACTTTTTTTTTTATCTTTTAATGATGGGTCCCACGTGACTTTTATCTGTAACATGAGATAACTACTATAATATACAATGAGAATAACATTTCCCTATAATTAATTATATTTTATATCAAAGTAATAATAAAAAATGGGGTAGTATTATTTGCATATAATTATCATTTATAACTATAGATCTCAAAATTCTGAATATTGAGAATAGAAAAAATAACAATAAAAAAATCATCTTTACATGACTCTTGATTGCTATTTTTTTATATTAAATTAAAATTTTTCTTTTCTTTTCTTGTTTATATTTTTTTATTTTTTAATACATTTAAAACTTTTTTTAAAAAAAAAAAATTTTGGGGGTCCCATCACCAAATGTGCAGACATAAATAAATTTTTTTAGGTCCGTCACTGATCACACACATCCTAAAAAATCATTGTACGTAGTACCACTAGCTTTTGGCTCAACTTGCACTTAATTACTAGCTGATTATTCGATCATATATAGTCCCTTTTAGATCTTAATCATTTCATTTACAAAAACAATGAATATCTGAATATTTAAATTTGAAGTTTTGAATTTTATAAAGAAAATGGCCGAGATTCAAATACTTGGTAAGTATGAATAAAAATAAGTTTATATATGTGCCTTCAATCGCAAATCAGAAATTAAAGAGAGGGTTTTCTTCCATAGTTCTATTCCTACTTTTACATATTTACGGCTATATATACAAAGCTCCTTTGATAAGGATCTGTTGTACTTAGGAGTTTATGTTTTCTTTCTCTTCATAAATTTTCAAAATGATGTTTCATATGCCTTTTCTTTTACGTGGACTAGTCCCACCATTGATTAGTGCTCATTTTAAAATTGTCAAGTAACTCACAAAGTGCACGGTTTATATTTTTATAACACTATTAATACTTTAATTGCAATCTAGTTCTATCTAGTTATTTCATCGATGGGTATCTTTTAGTTAATTAGCTCATTATGCAATGTGTTGTAGCCTGACTATTGATGGTTTAGCCAAAAAGGCGACGAAACGACTAGTACAAAAGACACCAAAATAATAGTAATAATTAACATATAGCTTAGTCACTCTTTTTCTGGTTACCAGATTAGTAACTACTTGTGTTTCGCATTCCTAATTGGGCTTATCTATGATTGGTTTGGTTGCATCAAATTATATTGTTAATCATTAAATTATCTTTACCTGTTTGTATTTTATTTTAATTACAAGAAATTTTATTTTATTTAATTCTTTTATAAACCTCTCTTAAATTTATACCTTGAGAAGCATACACAAACGTTCCTTAATTTTTCTTTATCTTTTTTAATTAATTTCTTCCATCAAAAGAACTTTTTTATAAATTTTGAAAATATTTACGAATCGTAAGGGAAAAATTTATTAGTTACTATTGCTTATTAATGTTATATCAATCTTAATCAAGTTTGTCATTGTCGAATTTCTGGTGGCCACCAATTGTTTGTATTCGTCGGCGGCACAGAACCAATCAGCCACTGATAACGATAATTAATAAACGAATTATAGCCACGTGTTCCTTCTACTGGATCGGATGCTGCAAACAGGTTGATCCTTTTAGAGGATATATTACATTTATATTTTAGTTGCATGCTTGATGACAAAAATTATTATAGTATTAAACTATCTAAAACAGCAATTACTGGAAAACACTATGAAAATTGTATTATCAACGGTAAATTTAAGGATGCCGACAACTCCAGAAGGTAGCAGCAAAGAGAGAACATGAAGTTTGTTACAAGTATTTTTGCTAAACCTCCCTTGTGGTTCCTACTAGTGAGAAATAATTCTATGGTCCAGGCCCAAAGAATTATTAGATGCTCTCACTCACATAGAAAAGGATAAAAAAGGAAAATCGAAATTAGAACAGGGGTAAAATAGAAAAATAAAAAGTTTGATTGTGAGAGTGGGACGAGACCTTAAAATTTTTTCCCCCTACTAGCAGTATAAGGCAAACAAAATAACAAAACTATTGAAAATTATACAATGGGCCTCTAGATACACTAGGTCCATTTACATTATTCTAATTAGTAATGCAAAGTAAACATTAGGCCTCACAAGTACCAGGCCATGACCCAACTCTCATCAAAATCCAACTTAGCCACTTGTTGAGATTACAAAGTCCTTTAACCATTGAGATAGCCTCTTCACTCTGTTTCCTTCTCTGCGCTGTCTATGTATCTCTTTATCTCCATCACTTTGTCTCTCCTGATCAAGAATAGTATTCATATCAATGGGGAGATGCATATCAATTTCCTCCTCCCTTAAAGACACGATCTTGCCCTCAAGATCGAAGCTTGGAAAGACTTGTCTAAACTCTGATGATGAAACCCAAGTAGTGTCCTCCTACGGTAATCCCTCTAATTGGACCAAAAGTTGTAAAATTTCCTCTTTTCCATGTTGTACTGTACGCGTACGAAGCACAACCACAGGTTTGGTGACTGGATGATTGTCCTAGCTCACAGGGGGAAGTGGTGCAGACTGGAAAGAGGGGTTCTGTTCATATGGTTTAAGGAGTGACACACGGAACACCGAGTGAATACGTGATTGCTCCGGCAGGTTCAATCGATACCCCAAAGGGCCAATGCACTCAGTGATTGGAAAAGGGCCATAGAAACTGCGTCGTAGTTTGGAAAAAGTGTGATTGCGTACAGAACACTGATAATATGGTTGGTGTTTAACAAGGACGAGATCGCCTACCTCAAACTGTACATCTCTTCGTTTCTTGTTAGCTTAGGTCTTCATTTGCTATCATGTCCTGTGTAAAGTCTCCCTGAGCTGGCGTAATATTGCATCTCGATGAGTCAACAGCGCATCAAAAACTTCTACAGAGGATGCAGTACCCTCATACGGTGGAATGCTCGGAGGAATTCGTCCATACATAATCTGAAAATGGGAAGCCCCAATCGAGGAGTGATTTACAGAGTTATAGGAAAATTCAGCCCAAGGTAGGTAGTGTACCCATTGCTTTGGTGATTCCATAGTGTAACAACGTAAATATTGTTCTAACCCCCTGTTGGTAACCTCTGTTTGCCCATCTATTTTCAGATGATTAGCTGTGCTATAACAAAGTTTGGTGCTACTCAGACGAGCTAATTCAGCCCAAAATTTACTAACAAAGATGTTGTCCCTGTCAGATACAATCGAGCGAGGAATCCCATGTAGGCAGCAAACATTCTCCACAATCACTGATGCTACTTTAGTTGCTGTGAAATTGGGAGGCAGAGCTATGAAATGGGCATACTTGGAGAGTCGATCGTCTACTACTAAGATAACAGTTTTCCCTTCTGAATTGGGCAGTCCAACGATAAAATCCATGGACAAATCTTCCCAAATAGCTAGAGGTACCGATAGAGGTTGAAGTAATCCTACTGCGGATAGGGCTGATACTTCATCACTTGGCAAATCAAACAAGTCCTCACAAATTCTTAGACATCACGTTTCAGGTTGGGCCAATAATATATGGGAAACACCTTATGCAAAGTCTTCTTCACTCCATTGTGGCCTCTAATCAAGGATGAGTGAAACTCATTTAGAATGACTGTGTGAAGTTTGAAATTAGAAGCTACCACAATCTGTCCTTTGTAGAGTATAAGTCCTTCCCGCAAACTGTAGTGTTCATACCCTCGAGCTCCTTTCTCAATGTTTTCTTTTAACTTAATTAATTCTGCATTGGTTCGAACCTCTGCCTTGATTTGGTCAATCAGGTTGGGAATTACCTTGGTGATGACCATTGCGCAACATTCTCCTTCTGCTACCGATGGTTCAACTTCTGATTTTCGGGATAGGGCATTGGCTACCTTGTTTACAGCTCCAGGGTAGTACTCTATGGTGTAATCAAAACCAAGCAATTTGAAAAAAAAACGCTGCTGTTCAGGGGTTTGTATAACTTGCCCCATCATTTCCTTGATACTTCTCTAGTCGGTTCTAATAATAAGAGGCCACCCTAGGAGGTACTGTTTCCACTTAGAAACCCCTTCAGTGATTGCAAAGATTTCCCTTACGTATGTTGAAGCTTGTTGCAGTTTAGGGTTGAGCTTCTTGCTAAAGTAAGCTATGGTTCTATTGTCCTGGCTTAACACTGCTCCCACTCCGATCCCAGAAGCATCTATAGTCAATACAAACAGTTTATTGAAATCTG